TACGTACGTACACACCACACACACACACACACACACACACACACACACACATATATATATATATGTATAACTATATATCATGAACCACACATTAATTTGGGCTCAGTGAATGCTTATTATAATATCATCTGGACTGAAAGGTTGTATATCTATATTTTCATTGATTTGTCGGATTCAGCACTGCTTTTTTGGACCTTATCATTCACTTCGCATCGATGAACCTAATGGTCTTTTGCGATGCACTTGAAAAGAAACATTATTATTTTTACTTATGAAACGAATATATCTGCGATAATTGATTACAGAACGTACAACCGACCATCAAGCCTTCCCCTCAATACTCTGAAGTAACTAAGGTTACGACGGGTGCGTTCGGAGTCCACGATACTTTAAGAAATGGACAGGGTCATGCACTCAGCCATGCTGATAACGCGCATCCTGTGGAGTTGATGCAGAAGCAGGTATCTTATTTTTAAGCTTGGATTATATGATTTTCTGTCGTTATCATACAATACAGTGAAGTCGTGTACGCACATTCGTTTAGTATTTGGCGCGATGGTGGGTAGAATGCAATAGCCTAAGCGAGACCTGTGTGAATACTGCGGTTTTTGGCACAATACTGCATAGTCGACCCCTTGCTTCTTCTGCTGTATTTGTTGATGGCTGCCGCCGAGTTTCTCAATACGGCAATACGATGATACACCTAATCATTCCTACAACACTGACGCATTTTTTTGTGTGGTATTGTGCTACCTCGTGCCACCGTCGTATTCGTGAACCACAATGGCGCACGGGTACTCTTGTTCGTACAAATTCATTCTAAATGTGTGACGTGTTCGTTGCGAAGCGAACTCATGCGATGATAGACCAATTTAAATACTACAGAGCAATGGGTTATCGCTGTACGACGATACAAATCGATGTGCAGCGATTGATGCTTTTCCGAGACAGTGTAAAGTGGCTTCCCAGCGATACAGACAATGCGAGGCTGGGCTCATTCAGACGAGACGTGGCAATTAGATTGAAGCGAATGATTGGTCTCAAGCGACATAGCACTAATCATATCTCATTGTTTGGTTAGAAGCTCATTGTTTTCCGAAGGGTGTCTGGTACGGGCGACTCTGCACAGTAGAATTGAAGACATGTTCGATATGGGTTGTTGTACGGGTCAACAACACGAGCGCGCAAGCTTAGGCTGTTTGAAGTGTCAGAAGCATGTCTATGCGATCTCAAGTAGGCGTCCTCAGGGTTAGAGACATTCATACTGATTTGAAACGGATGTTCGTGAAACGCTTCAACTTGACATTCATCTCATATTTATGCTCATTTCAATTGTATGCATCACCTGGTATATTATATATCAAACCTATAGGCAGGATGTTGAACTGTGTATCTCTTTATAAACTGATTAGTCTTTAATTTGTCACCTTAACTTACACAGACCAAGGTATCTCAGAAACAACTCCGTCTGCAGATGTTGCGTGACGTACAGGGTCTGCACGCCCCCATGCGCCTCACCACAGAGCGAGCCTTGATTAGCAAGCCACTGCACCACATGCCGTGCATCACTACCTCCAACATTGCGCTGGAAACCTTTGACAACACAGACGAGTTCATCGACTACACCGATTACCTGAACGGTACGTCGCTTGTTACCGTGTCTCTTACCTTTACATTTGTGTTGTACCCGGTCGTACTGACGACTCTGCTGGGCGTACACGCTGCAGTGTCATTTGTACATGCTTTGGATGCGAAGGGTTCGCTGACTTGGTGATGTATGTAATATTTTCAGCGTGTTTGTGCCATGCATGGACTGCTGCGTGATTGTGCGTAAACGCATTGCATTTTGCCTCGGACAATGATACACGAATAGATATTTCATATGCAAACGTAAATTTCGATGTCTTGTTAACGGTTCTGCCCTGGATCACAGTACCAGTTAAATACCCGGTATCGTCCAACTACAGTGCAATTATATCCTCGCTTTTGAGTACAGCTGCAGTAGCTATTTGGGGTTCTCCGCTGTAGCGCGTAGTTCCGAACATTGTATTATTCCTTTTCATTGGAATATACGCTTTTACTTCGGCCCTCATGCTATTCTTTGTCATTGCTGTCACCATGCTCATATTCTCACTGTGCAATACGCGAACATATATCTGCAGATCCACGAGACGCCCCAGAGATGGGCGATCCCCACATCATGATGGAGTATAAATTGAAAATGTAATTAAATAAATAGTACTTGAATGTGGTAAATACGCTATGTGCGTGTGCAAAACTTGGCAGCTGAGCTATCGTGGCCTGTGGTATGCATCATACAAGATATTTTTCTCCATATTTGCAAATAGCCTTTTGATCATCATTGCTCCCTTTAAATGAAAGCCTCAGGCAGCATCAATTGAATAAGGTTTAATTATGTAGCTTATCCTAACTTTTCGCTACCCTGCAGAGATGTACTGAGTTCTATCGCCACAGTCTTGTGTTGGCCACCCAGTATCAACAACGAGCACATGGATGCTGACACTTTTGCAGCTCTCCGGTGTCCGATTGAATAAGTTGCGAATTGCTATCACAGAAATTTAGAATAGATGGGTATCACCTATTATGATTCCCTAAGTGAAATCATATGCCGTTAAGCGTCTTCATTGATGTAAAACAGTGTATTCATGGATGTGTAACAGTGTATTCATGGATGAATACATCCATGCATATATATATATATATATATATCTCCATACGGGTTTTCATTGGACTATATATACATGCATGTATATTATATTATATATATATATATATATATATATATATATTATCTTATATTATATATGTGCGGATTATCTACATCCACAATTACTTAAGCCAATTCATGGTTCAGCTACGGTCGTTTAGAAGCGAGTCATTCTCGGACCGCCGCTCATTGTTGTCGGCTGGCTCCATGACACTGGACATTGAGGAGTTGTCGTGCAGATATCGATTGAAGGACAGTCTTCGCGAACCTCCCCTTAGACGCGCACCTAAGCTGCCACTTTTCTGCCGACCGGCCCGCTATAGTACGACATTTGAAAAGAACGAGTTCAATTCTATTCGTTAGTTCAACGAGTTATTGCCTTTGGGATACTAATTGAAAGGGCTACCTCTCGAACCTCTTCTTGGACGCGAATCCAAACTGCCACTCTTCTGCCTTCGGGCACTCTATATTACGGCACATGAGGAGAATAAGTCAGTACGTTAGTTCAGCAGAACTGTACCGTGTGGACATGTGTACAAGTCGAAACAATTCTAAGTCGACTTCACTTGTTGGCAATGCTATCACAATACCCAGAGGTAAGAATACTTGCAAGTACCTTGAAAAAATTAATCCAGAAATTGGCAATTCCATGAGACTAAGCAATCGTATACATACCACTGGGCTGATTGCGGGGCTCCGCGTGCCATTGGTGCCATAGCTCCTGACACGCGTGTGAGTCAGTGACTGTCGGCGTATGCTCTTTTTTTCCTCGAAATTGGACACGAGATTGAACGTCGCCTGTGAATGAACATCAGTCAAAGATGAGTGCAATAAGATTTGACTTGGCCACTTGGCCACTTTCCGGTATACATTTGTATATTGGTCTTAGTTGGGGGCTCTGTCCATGTCTTCATATCCGCGTTATGGTCGTGTACGGTGCGTATGGGTGTGATGCCCATCAACTGCGATATGTTACTGTTTCATTTAAAAAATGGCATGTCGGAGTTTTACGTCAAATAGCTACTCTCCTAGTTTCGAGTGATAACTGCAAAGTGGCCTCACATCTGTGGCAAAATACACTTGTGGTGGGAGTCTGCTGTGTCGTACTCGATACTGCAACACTCACCTGTGACAACTTGCGCTCTGGCTTGGCGTATCCCGTGAAGTACTGATCTTCAATCTCAACCTCCACGGGCAAAGATCGCACCAGAAACGGCTTCAAATACTTGAGATGTATTCTGCAACGAGACAATGCATCGATATTTTGATACGAATATTATACGAGGTTCTTCGTGCGTGTTATCGATTTGCTTTCAATACAGTGTCAAGTTCCAGTCCAGTGGCGTGTGAAGACTCGATCGATATCAGACACCATTTTGCCAGACTACACCAAACAACGCATCACTGCTAACGAGCCTAAGTGATACAACAATTACTAGTCGCACACTACAACATAGGACTCTGACCAATCCACCATTTCTTCAGTGCTACCATGCAAATCGTACATAGCATGCGCGTGTTCTCAGATCCAAGTCTTGTATGTACGTACTTGTTGTTGAAGAAGCGGTGCACAGCACCGAAACCTGCAGTGTCTTCGTATTCGTACTCGTCCGACTCATCAGCTGTCTTCTCTTCCTCCGGTTCGGCATACGCCCCCGTCATATTGATGTCCAGGTATTGCATGACAGGCAGTACCAGCCCGCCCTACCCGTTTGTTTTTGCCGCAGAATAACACCAAGTTAAAATCGTCATGTAATGCACATCAGGAATATGCTATACACGGTTATAGTGAACCATCAAGCGTGCTTCAGACATCTCTAAAACTGATAACGGATGTGACACAGAATGCCCACGTGCGCCTACTTGGACGATGAGCAAGCCAGACTCGTAAATGCACGGGTTAACCAATCTTAAGAGCAGCACGTGATACTTTCAACACCCTGCGGGGTATAGAACCGATCCACGGCGACTTCAAATGGGGTTGAAGTACACTGTCACCTACCGCAGTATAGCAGATTTGCACACAATCTGTTGCAGCATGCGTGCACACACTCGACACAAGAACTGTCGTGTTATCGAAACCATTTAACACACCCTAACAGACGAAGGTACTGCAACAGACGTGGCACCTGCCAAAGCACAGCAATATACATACATATACATATACATACATACAGCCAAAGCACAGCACAAGCAATCGTATCGGGGACTGAGCTCAAGACTTGTTGGTGGAGGCATAGCACACATGTGCTCTCTCTAACTGGCCCCTAATAGCACCGATACTGAGGCACAAGTCTGAATGGTAAGACAGAGTTATACACACCGTGGCCATACGACTTTAGCACTCCTATCACCTACCTGCACGAAAATGGTGAAAATGATCACGGACGACGTGAGCATGTTGAGCTCGTCGGCGTACTTGGTGCCCTTCTCGGAAATGGGATCGTACCTAGTGAGCAGCAGACAATGGTTAGAGAGGGGACAGAATGTCAGAGATCGCAATCGAGGGATCCTTAGTGGGGACGAATATATAGGTTGTAGATGCTGTACTGCTTACGCCGCATTTAATATGTATTTGTACCTACTAATGCGTGCTACACAGCAAATTAAACAGAGGGGGGCTGTATGCACGTGCGTATTCCTTAAGTTACAATAGTTGAATTGCAGGTACCATATTGAAGTCGGGGACACTACAAGGGTATATAAAGGTACAGTGCGTGTAGAAACATTCAAATACACTCAGCCAACCACACCGAAGGTGGATGCGCATACCTAGGTATGTTCGTCACCAGAGCAAAACCAATAGCACCTCGTAACCCCGAGTACCAGAACATTAGCTGGTTTTTCAACTCCACCTGTGATTGCGGGAAGCAGGAGGAGAGTGGCAGCCTTAAGCGAATTGAATCAATGGATGAATGGGGAATGGTTCTTGAAGCAAAATGTATTAAAAGATGAAATTGTTTGTGTGGTATGTATAAGTGCACGTAATTTAAGTACTGGATTTTGAAGTATAAAACGTTCATGCACAGAACAACGCGATCCAACAAAGAAGACAAAACGAACACAGGACACAGTGAAACTCATCCGACAATACGCGTTTGTGTGCGACCAGTGTATCTTACCTCCCGGAAACGTCTGACTGACATTCGCTTCTATACGACTATCGGTCTTTGGCCTCGCTGTGGCACAAAATACGAAGATACACATATACACGAGCACACGTTTGCGATACAAGTTACGCACGCCTACATTAAAAAAGATAATAAAAAGAAACACATACCTTCTCAATTCGGAACATATTTGCCAGAGGAATGAGAGTGAAGGTCATGACGAAACGGGAGAACACACACGCAGAGATGGCGACCGACACCGCTTTGGCGGTCCAGGTATAAAAGGGCGTGTCCATATACATGGAAAATCCTGCGCGAACAGAGAAGAGTGCACCGTAGTTATGTTCATGAGCGTGAATAGCGTATATGATGATTAGGGTTCTTGTGCTTACGCAAGCACTCTCCTATCCGAAGCTGAACCATCGATGTTTCTCGTTCAGGCCATGCTTGAGAGTTCCTCTCAGGTGTTCTGACTGGATCTTGTTGGTTGAAGACCTGATATCGTGCGAGTGAAGCACTGAAGTATAGTGGCTGATGCATGTCTGAAGATACTTCACCTGGAGGCAAGCGAGACTTCGCACACAAGTCGACAAGAAAAGAAACCCGTTCAACAGCAGCATTGTCTCCGTGGGTGAAAGCAATAGCACGTGCAACCACCGTTTAACGCCAGTGTGTTCCTCATATTACCGACAGCTTATGATGATAGCTCTCAATGTGCACATCGTATCAAGCACAGAGGATTTTGCCGCTAAAGCTATCAGTATAAGAATTGTATCATACCCATATCCACACCCACATATGAACGTTTAAAACATCGCTTACCAAGGTAGACGAAGATGGCGGTCTCCATCGATGAGGCGAGGACCTCAAACGTGAATTCGAGGTGCTATGTGGGGCAGAAGCAAAGATGGGTCAGAAAGCGCTGAATGAACCAGCAAGTGCTAGTGATGAGTATGGCGTAAGTATATGAGGAGATACGCAACAGGTGGTGCACGCAACACCAAGCTATACAGATAAGTACGTCGACTGGCCACAGGCAAAGATCCGACATACAGAGGTGAGAGCGGGCGACTATGCATAGCGATACAAACACGATTTCGTAGTGCACATATACGCACGATATACGAATACAACATACGTATCCATGATTAACAGTCCGGTCAATCTACGAACACATGTGTCATGAATAGTATGGAGGTACATTGCATTTACACGGAGCGAGATGGGTTGGAGCGACTATTACAAGTAGATAAACTGCAGGTATAGTGACGACAACAGAGGTTTGCTGTATTCTTTCTAGATGAGCCGTTCAGAGACTTAAGGCTTACCATGGCTGAATAGGGGACAGGTAGCAACTGGCGGATAACGCATTGCCATGGCATGAATACCCACGACTCAAGTAACCACTGTAGTAGCTCAAGACCTGGATACGCACGAGACTGCAGTACATGTTCTTCTACAATACGACGAGGACTTCAGAGGAGCACAGATGACATTGTATGTGCACAGGACAGGGGCAAAGGCTCGCTTCTGATACCCACCGCTTAGCTAGCAGCATGCACGGCATCAATGACCACTCTGAACACTCGGATAATGAGGTTGTGCGTATGTACAGGCGAGTGGTGGTGTCTTGCAAGTGGGGTTGGCATACCTGCTTAGATTCCAGAGAGATATTGTGCCATGTGTACAGCTGGAACACCAGGGCCTCAAACATCAACCTAATAATGTAACATACAACATATATTTAGACCGCAAAAAAAGGTACGGAAAACCCGGACTTCAAACATCAACCTGATGGTAAAATGTACAACGTTTATTTAAAGGATGCAAACAGGACCGATACCGAGCTTGCAATACGACGGGGGTAGTGTTGGATACACCAACATTAAAAAATCGAATCCCGAGCACTCCGAGAAGTTGTGTTAAGTTTAGGCTTATGGTAAATACCTTCGATGCAATTTAATACACCACTGACATGCATGCCATTGACATGACAAAAACAACGCAATCGATTTGTGGTTTTCAATTGAGTCGATGCCGATAATGATGGTAGCGAGAATGGGCACTGACGCCGACACCTACACACGCATGTGCCATTCAGTGCTTTACAGACGCAATATGGTATGATCACTGTTGTAAAGAGATGCTGAATGCAGCACAGGCGCTTTCTTGGACAGAGCAAAAACACAGGCGATATGGGAAGAGGTTATACTAGGAAGGCTAAAACGGTACACGCGCATCGCTAACAATATATAGGAGTTACGCAAGTGCAGTACACTCAAGTGAAGGGCGTGTAGACTCATATAATGCGCAGCGTTGGTTCATCTACACACACACACACCCGACGATGCCACTCCACTCCAGTGCTTGACACACATAGTATGGGATAAACGACAAGCATGTGATCGCCACCATCTCGGCCTGAGCTCCACCATAGTGGAAAGTTACGTGACGAGTGATGAAGGCTGGAACAGGGAGTTGGATTACATACATGAGCATACTGGCCAGTGAACAGATACAGATATCTAGTTAACGACCATCTGTACCACATAAACCATATAGAACGAGACATTATCATGGAAAGAAAGGTGCTGAATGATGTACTGCATTTTGGCGAGCCCGTGTATGTACAGGGCAATAAAGGTAATTGCACTACCACTAGTTAGTATTCCTGCAGCTTGTCACATTCATATATACAATTAACCAAACAAGAGCAATGCGTGTCATGATTTTCCACGAAGCGCTTGATTGAAAGGAAGCAGACATACGTATGCACAACTCTAACTGAATGCACTTGATTGACAATCAAAGAAGAAACACACCTATCAGCAGGCCGGAGGCAAGGCCAATGAGGGTAGAGCCAAAGAAAACCTTGAAAAACTTGCTCACCATCAAGTTAAAAACCTCCCTGGTAAACGTGCGATTGCAAATTAGTCTTCACCAGGTATAGTGGTCGTTTAGTCCACTGCATGAAGCCATCGGCCGAATCTGGTGCTGCTACTATTATTCGAATAGCTGAAGCGCTGCCCACAAAACTGTGCATCGGCTAATCGTGCAAGGTACACAGGGCGGTCACAGAGCCTATAAAGCAACATAGATGCATTTGCACGTATACTAGTGTCCCGAGTTTGCGGGCGCGAGTGTGGGTGAAAGAACCCGTCACAGACCTTCTAGTCTTCCACTAGAAACAGCGCACACTGTACATCGTAAGGTTTGTATCACCCTTCGGAACACAAAAAACAAGTTAACATCTCCGCCTTCGCCATAGGACCACTCACACTGATGCATGTGGCTAAGATAGTACCGTGCCAGAAGTGGAGGACACGGATGCGTATCATTTGGTCTCTGTTCTGGTTTGTAGTCATACACATACCCGCTCAGTTCAAGATTCAGGAAGTCTTTGGAGGCCTGGAATAGCACCACAGCCACTCCATCATTGGCCATGCTCTCGCCAAACACAATGCAGCTCAGCTGGAAGTTGATGTGTGGGTAGGAGATAGTATATCCATGCTTAGCTTGGGTAGGAGATAGTATATCCATGCTTAGCTTGGGTAGGAGATAGTATATCCATGCTTAGTTTGGGTAGAGCATAATATATCCATGCTTAGTTTGGGTAGGAGATAGTAAATTCTTGCTTAGATTTGGGTA